TTCTCTAAAAACATGACAAGGATAATTCATAAAATCATTATGAAAGAATTGAGATATGATAGAGTGAGTGTATGACTATTTCAGTAGGGGCTTGCTATTATTAGAAAAAAGTAAACCAGCTTCCCTCTCCTTGAAGGTTAGTTACATTCAGAGTCATAGGAGCCAAGTACTTGGGAGCTGGAAAAAAACCTACACTGTCATCAGATTAAAACCTCACTTTTAGCCGGGCACAGTGGCTCACACCTATAATCCCAGCACTTTGGGAGACGGAGGCAAGAGGATTGCCTGAGTCCATGGGTTCGAGACCAGCCTGGGCAACATGGCGAGACCTTGTCTCTACAATTTAAAAAAAAAAAAAATTTAGCGAGGTGCAGCAGTGAATTCCTGTGGTTCCAGCTACTCGGAAGGCTGAGGCAGAAGGATCGCCTGTGCCCAGTAGGTTGAGGCTGTGGTGGCCGTGAGTGTGCCACTGCACTCCAGCCTGGGTGACAAAGTGAGTCTGACTCAAAAAAACCCCCCTAACTTTCAAGTTATTTATTTATTTCAGAGACAGCATCTCACACTGTCTCCCAGGATGGAGTGTAGTGGCTCAATTGTAGCTCATTGCAACCTTGAACTCCTAGCCTCACGCAGTCAGTCCTTCTGCACCAGCCTCCCAAGTAGCTGGGACTGCAGGTGTGTACCACCACACGTGGCTACTTTTTAAATCTTTTGTGTAGATAGGGTCTTGCCATGTTGCCCAGGCCAGTCTCAAACTCCTGGGCTCAGGTGATCCTCCCAAAGTGCTGAGATCATAGGTGTGAGCCCCCACACCCGGCCTAAAACCTCAAGTTTTAGATAAAGAAGATGAGGCCCAGAGAGCTTCTGTGACATGTCCCAGTTACACTGGGGCAGAGCTACATGGGGCAGAGCTGGTACCAGTCTCTGGGTTTGCAGTGCCCTTGACTGGGATTATAAATTACATAGATTAGGTTTGACACATTTTTTTTTTTTTTTGAGTTGGAGTCTCACTCGGTCACCCAGACTGGAGTGCAGGGGCCGCTCCCGGCCACCGCGGCCTCGCCCTTCTGGGCTCCGGCGATCCTTCCGCCTCAGCCTTCCTAGTAGCCGGAATTACAGGTGCATGCTACCACGCCCGGCTGATTTTTTGATTAATTGTAGAGATGAGATCTCACTGCCCAGGCGGGTCTCGAGCCCGCGGGCTCAGGCAATCCCCTCACCTCAACCTCCCAAAGGCATGGGATTACAGGCTGAGCCACCGAGCCCGGCGACACATTTTTAAAAAAGTATTAGTTATCTGGAATAGATTCTTGCAGTTTAGTCTCTAATAAAACATTTATAAAGTGCTTGTTGCCATTGGGTCTTGGTGTTGTCAAAGCTTTTTTGTGAAAGAGGGAAGATATCCTAGGGAAACCAGGTTGGGGGAGTCAGAAAGGATGAAAAATCTTGAGGAGGGTATCAGTGAATGTTTGAGAACATGCACTCTGGTCAGGTGTGATGGCTCACACCTGTAATCCCAGCATTGTGGGAGGCGGAGGCGAGAGGATTGCCTGAGCCCACGGGTTAGAGACCAGCCTGGGCAACATGGCGAGACCTGAGCCGGGCATGGTGGCACACACCTGTAGTTCCAGTGACTTGGAAGGCTAAGGTGGAAGGATCACCTGAACCCAGCAGGTCGAGGCTGTGGTGACTGGGAGCGTGCCACTGCCCCCCAGCCTGAGTGACAGAGTGAGGCTCCAACTCAAAAAAAAAAAAGGGAGGGGTCGGACGTGGTAGCTCAAACCTGTGATCCCAGCACTTTGGGAGGCTGAGGCGAGAGGATTGCCTGAGCTCAGGGGTTCAAGACCAGCCTGGGCAACTTGGTGAGCCCTCGTCTCTACAACAAATCAAAAAATTAGCCAGGTGTGATAGCTCCTGCCTGTAGTTCCAGCTACCTGGAAGGCTGAGGCAGAAAGATCACCTGAGCCCAGCAGGTCAAGGCTGTGTTGGGCAACAGAGTGAGACGCCAACTTAAAAAAAAAGAAATTTTTGGTTTTTGGCTGGGTTCTGCCCTGGAATTCCTTTTGTTTCCATTTTCAGTCTACACTGCTCAGTTTTCTCACTTATTAACGGATGACTAGACCACCACAGTGGTAAGATACCATTTTAGAAAAGTGTTTTATGATCCAGAGATAAAAAGTCCAATGTTGGGCCCATAAACGTTTCGGTCACTTTAGTTAAAAACTTGATTTCAAGCGGCACTGATCTTCCAGGGGCCCTGTGATGTTCAACTCCAATGCACATCACACAGAAATTCAGAAAGGCTCGTAGGTGTCAAGGTTGAGAGAAACTGGGACTTCAGGGGCTCTGTTCTTTGGGAGGTTGTTCCTAGTTCACGTCCACTCCAGCCGTAGGGGACCTGTAAGGGAAAATAAGTTGCCTTAAGGATCTGTAGAGTCAGTCAGGTTCAGCACAGCCTGAAGGTAAAACCCTCTTCATTTGTCATTCTCCGCCCGCTGTGGTCCTGTGCCCACAGTCTGGACCTTTCTTGCTTCCTCCTCTTCTGACAGTTCGGGTTGAAGCGTGTTTGCCTATGTTCATTGCCATGAGGCTGAGCATATAGGGCGTATATATATTTTTTGGTCTCTGCCCACCTGGCATATGGCCACCTGAGCCGGGCATGGTGGCACACACCTGTAGTTCCAGTGACTTGGAAGGCTAAGGTGGAAGGATCACCTGAACCCAGCAGGTCGAGGCTGTGGTGACTGGGAGCGTGCCACTGCCCCCCAGCCTGAGTGACAGAGTGAGGCTCCAACTCAAAAAAAAAAAAGGGAGGGGTCGGACGTGGTAGCTCAAACCTGTGATCCCAGCACTTTGGGAGGCTGAGGTGAGTGTGCACAAATTGCTCATAAACCAAATCAAGATGCAAACAACAGCTGGATTCTTGTTTAAAGGAGTCACATGATTCCGGGGGAAATCAGCTTTCAGGACTTTGCCTCACATTGGATTTGGTTTGCGGTTTCCCCATAGCGTACCAGAAAGCTGCGTGATTATTAGGGTTTGAACCAGACACACAGACCGGCAGTCACATGCCCACAGTACAGAATGACCTCCCTGAGCAGCTCATGTTTCCAGGATGTTGGGAAATTCAGACTTGCCGGAGGACCTTGTCCTTGCGAGGTGGGGCTGTCAGTGACTGACATGATTCAGCAGCGAGTTCTGATCTGAATTCCAAGATAATTGAGCAGTTGCCCAAGGGAACATCTGAACTGCAGACCGTCTACTTGCCAGAGATGGAGCGATCCTCAGAGTAGCCTGATCCCTGAACCCACTCAAATAGGTGAAAATTAGATTTCTTTCTATCTTGAAGAAAGTCATCTTGGAGAAGTAGATATCTTCAAAGGCACTGAGGCTTTCACTGCCCTTCATGAGAACAACAGGGGCTGCTACAGGCCAGTTTTCATGCAACCACCTGTGTCTCCCAGCTCTGCCCTTCTCTGTATGTGGCTGTCATTCCCACTTTGTCTTGGCTTCAACATTCTGGTTCTTGGGTCTGGCGAACAGGTTTGAGACCAGTCCCAGATTGGCCATGGGACAAAGCAATCATCTATATAATTGGAAGACATTATTAATAGGTATATCAGAGTAAAACTCCTTATTTTTTCTGGGTCACTTAAGGACAGTTCCCACAGGCCCCTGGAAAACAGTTTATTCCGCTGGAGGACTATTTGCGCAGACCTAATGAGATATTCACGCCGAGCCTAATAGAAACTTAAAAGTAATTCACAGTTTGCCCCATTCTCTGTAGATATACCTCACTAAGTAAATACAATATAGACTCTGAACATCTGGAATTGTTGAAAAAAATCCCCTGGTACCAATTCCCTTTACAGAGATTTGATTTTGAACTCCCCTAGTGCACTCAGTGACCTATTTGTCAAATGAAATTTATCTGTTTGAAACACTCTCTCAGCCGTTTTCATTTTTGCTTTTTTGTGACACACCGGCATCATGCTCTTTAATTAGGTATGGAAACTTCAGATGTTAAACTTCAGCAGCGTTCATCTGCTGTCATCATCTCATTCGAGTTCCACTTCTTTCACCAAAGGAAAGTTAGGTTCCGTTGAAAGGGTTCTTCGGGAAAAGTATTTGGTTCTTCCCTGATGTGCTAGATGTCACCATCCGACCATGTTTTCTCCCCCCCGCCCCCGTGCCCTATACTAACTTTCCAGTGAGAACATAGTAAGCTAAGGTGGCTGGGTAATTCTCAAATTACATCCTAGAACGGCCCGTGTGTAAGAGGTCCTGCCTTGGAAACTTGAACTTTTATCATGTCTTGCTTTCTTTGTTCACGGCTCCTCGGTTATTTTTATGTCATCCCGTCTGACAGAGAAGATAACTGGAGGGGCATTTATTTTCAGAAGGAGGTTAGGGGTGGAGGGAGGGTGTCTAGCCCTCCTGAGGAGCCTGGAAGCAGTGCCGTCAAGCCCAAGCTTGGCATTTTCTGGCCACGTGACCTCAGACACTGGTTTTGAGTCTGTTTGATCCTGGGCAAGATGAAGACAATATGTAACATGTACCAGGGGACCGTATGTGTGGAGAGGACTGAAACAGCATGGGTAAAGCACTCCACCCAGTGCCTGGAGCGTAATGAGGATTCGACAAACCGTTATTATTGTTATTGTCTGGGAGGACAGCGTTGTTCTTGAGCTCAGGTCATTCTGTTGCCAGATTCACTTGTTTTGTTCTCTCTCCCCCTGGGCTGAAGAATGTAGCTGTTTCATTTTTCTGTCTCCTTAGCCTGTTAGCGTAACCAAGGCGTATCTGGGTATGTATGTGTACCTGGAGTAATACTTTCTAATATGGACTCCAACTTTAAATTTAATTTCAGGAATCCTGTACAGAAAACCTCATGCTTAAGTTCACCTACATTCCAGGCCAAGCCATAAGTTATTACTTCCTGGCCCTGACTGTTAGTATTTTTTATAACTCTAAAACTAATTTCCTTAATGTAACCCTAGATCATGTTTAATTTGGATAAAGTACACATCATTTTGGATGAGATGGTGTTAAATGGCTGCATTGTGGAAACGAACCGGGCAAGAATTCTTGCCCCTCTCCTAATTCTTGATAAGATGTCAGAAAGCTGACAGGAAGCCTCTGCAAGATAACAGTGATTTACAGGAAGTGAGAACACAGAAGAATTTGGACGATCACAATTACAAAATGTGGTATCCTTCCAAAGACATTACAAACAGATGTTTTTCAGAGTTTTTATTTTTTCATTTTTATTTATTTTTATTTTTTTTTGAGTTGGAGTCTCACTCAGTCGCCCAGACTGGAGTGCAGTGGCCGCTCCCGGCCACTGCAGCCTCGACCTGCTGGGCTCCGGCGATCCTTCTGCCTCAGCCTTCCAGGTAGCAGGAATTACAGGCACGCACTACCAAGCCCGGCTAATTTTTGATTTATTGTAGAGATGAGGTTTCGCCTGCCCAGGCGGGTCTCGAACCCGCGGGCTCAGGCAATCCACTCACCTCAGCCTCCCAAAGGCACGGGATTACAGGCTGAGCCACCGAGCCTGGCGTTTTTCAGAGTTTTTAAATGGAAAACAAAACTATTTAAAAATATGTACCAAAACTTCTTCTCTAACTGTAAACATTATTTTCCCCATTTTTAAAATTGTGTTGCGTGCCTAAGGAAACTTTTTTGTCTCTGCCTCTTTTTGCAAATTAAATCCAGGAATAGCAGGGTGGTGGCAGGAAGTATGGCAGTTCTCAATAAACATTTGAAATTGATTTAAACATACATGGCATTTTTATTTTTTAAGAAAGCAAAATTTGAGAGGACAGAAAAGCTCTCACAGTGGGAGGAGACCCAAGGGGGTGCCCACATAGCATTTTTGAGTAACAGTTTTTTCTGATTTTCTTTAAAATATAATTTGTTTAAGTTGTTCATTTTTGGGGGAGGTGGTCTTGCTTTGTTGCCCAGGCTGGAATGCAATGCACGATCATGGCTCCCTCTCACCTCAAACTCCTGGGCTCAAGTGACCCTCCTGCCTTGGTTTCTGAGTAGTTGGGACTACACGCACTGCTACCACGCCCAGCTTTAAAAACTTTATAACAGGTACTTAAGGAAGATTGTAGAATTTTGTCAGTTTCTAAAAGCCTTTGATAGCCATTTTAAAGGCACTTAGTATTTACAATGCCACCATATAAAAAACGATATACAGAACGTTACTTTATTTTCGGATGGGGGTCAGGATCTCAGTCAGTCCCTTAAGCTGAGGGACAGTGGCATGATCACGGCTCACTGTGGCCTTGGTCTCCTAGGCTGAGATCTTTCCACCTCAGCTCCAGGAGTAGCTGGGACTACAGGCACATACCACCATATCCTGCTAAGTTTTTGACTTTGTAGAGACAAGGTCTCGCTATGTCGCCTAGGCCGATCTCAAACTCCTGGACTCAAGCAATCCTCTTGCCTTGGCCTCCCAGAGTGCTGGGATTACAGGCTCGAGCCACTGGGCCTGGCCCAGAATGTTACTTTCAAATAATGTATGGTTAGACATTAAAGGGAGCCCTTACAACTATCCTTCATGCCACATTTTAGAGGGTTTGTCTCATGAATAAGCTTAGTGTTAATGAAATTTAAATACTAATAGAATGCAAGAGAATATCACTGTACAGGTTGGCATGAAATGAATCCTCCTCCCTGACTCTAATTCCTTGAACCCCTTCTCCTGCGATGTCTTGAAGCAAATTACTAAGTCACTAGAGGAGAGCAAAGCCCTGCATTCCCCCACAACCTTTCTTTATGCATTTGCTACTCTGTTAACAGAATATACAGAACTGCTTTACGTGAAGTATACTCAGTAGTTCCCGCCTTATCAGCAGTTTTGCTGTCTGTCGCTTCAGTTACCACGGTCAACTGAGGTCCAAAAATATTAGACTGAAAATTCCATAAATAAACAACTCTTTTCAATTGCACACCATTCTGAGTAGTGTGATGAAATCTTGCGCCATCCTGCTTTGTCCTGCTCTGTCCCACTCTGTCATGCCTGGGAGGTGAGTAAACGTTTGTGACCATATGCACGCTGTATATGCTACCCACCTGTCAGTCACTTAGTAGCTGTCTTAGTTACCACATCACAAGAAGGATGAGTATAGTACAATATGGTTTTTTTGAGTTGGAGTATTACTCTGTCGCCCAGGCTGAAGTACAGTGGCATACTCACAGCCACCACAGCCTCGACCTGCTGGGCTCAGGAAATCCTTCTGCCTCAGCTTTCCAAGTAGCTGGAACTACAGGCACACGCCACTATGCCTGGCTGAATGTTCTTGATTTATTGTAGAGATGAGGTCTCACCAAGTTGCCCGGACTGGTCTTGAACTCGTCGGCTCAGGCAATCCTCTCACCTCGGCCTCCCAGAGTGCTGGGATTATAGGTGTGAGCCACTGAGCCCAGGAGTTTCGGCTATTTACAAGTCTGAGGTGGAAGGAGAGCCTGAGCCCAGCAGGTTGGGGCTATGGTAGCTGTGAGCTGGTCACTGCCCTCCATCCTGTGTAAGAGTGAGACTCTTCTCAAAACCAACAGCAAAAAAAATCCCCCAAGGATGAGGGGGTCTATAGAATATGTGCATGTAGGAGCAGGAAGTCAGGTGCAATGGAGGGAGAAAGTGGAAATATAGCCACCACGCCTGGCTAGTATTTTGATTTATTGCAGAGATGAGGTCTTGCCAAGTTGCCCAGGCTCGTCTCGAACCCCTGAACTCAGGCAATACTCTCGCCTCAGCCTTCTAAAATGCTGGGATTACAGGCTTGAGCCATCTTATAGACTGTTCCAAGAGTTCTTTCATCTGCAACACTCTGTCCTCCAAGAGTGGACATAAATGGACATTCTAGGGCCTGGTCATTCAGCACTCTTTTTTTTCTTTTATGTGTGTTAGGGGTGGGGGAGGTGGAGGCTTTTTCAAGTTATTTATCCTTTTCCAAAAATCTACTTGCATATTTCAAAGTTCATAAAGATTCAGACAACCAGTCTATAGTAAACTCCAAAAGCAAGCCTGAGTTGTTTTGGACTCATTCAGAAAGGGGAACACTTCTGACCTGTGGGAACAATGAGTGGTATGTGTACATAGATCCACCTTTGTATTCAGTAGTCAAGGTCTGGGGAAAACCCAGTCTAGACCCAAGTGCTTTGGAGGTCTTTGTGAAACACTGGTTGGGAAACACTGTCCTAGTTGGTAGGTACTTTGTCAGTAGCACATTCAGGTAACTGCTGAAACTGGTACACCAGAAGTAGCTAGGGAGTGAACAAAATTAATTTTTGGGTCACACCAAAATAGTAGTTGAATTACATCTTGGCACAGATTTTAGTACCTTCAGAGAATAACAACAGTTTAAAAAAATAGGAAGATATAACAGGGAAAAAATACTTTAAAAGAACTTAACAGTATATGAGACCCCGGTAGATGTCTCATAACACTTGACTTATGCAAAGTGAACTGTCATGTGACTATCTGTACTTACAGGTCGTGTCATCTCACTTCAGTAAGATGCTTTTAATATCTCACACTCATAGTTTGTCTCAGATTGGTAGGCATTACCCTGTTCTTGAACTTTTTCTAAGGAAGATTCTTAACATTTCAAAAATAGTTACTGATTTTATAAAATTCGTCATTTTACTTGCTTAGCAACTTGCTAGACCAAAGGTTTGGTAAGCTTTTTCTTTAAAGGGCCAAATAGTAAGTATCTTAGGCTTTGTGGGCCATATGGTCTCTGCTAACCATTAATACTTAAGTCTGCCATTGCATTGCCAAAACAACCATAAATAGTACATGAATGAATGAGCATGGCTGCATTCTAGTGAAACTTTGTGGACACTGAAATTTTAATTTCATACAGTTTTCAGTCACAAAATGATTTTTTCCAATCATTAACTTAATGGGACGTACAAAACAGGCAGCAGGCCAACAGATTGCCAGCCCTAGTGTCAGGCTAGGCTTGGTAAAAGCTGACTATAGAAAGACATTTTAGACTTTTAAAAAATGGCAATACTATACACAAAAACTGGATTTCAATTCTAACACTAGTATACAGTTTGTCATGTATTCATGACTATTGAAATCACCACCACTTTTTGAATTGAAACATAAGCCACCAATTTAAATATTGCAATTATGCTTTGTTTTGACTGTCATTCTCATGGAGAACTGTGAAACTGACAATAAGGTGAAATATTTAACCGCTGTCTCTGATAACCACCACCACAGTATCATGCAGCAAATAAAAACAGTACTCAAATCATTAGCTGTAGTGGGAAATATCTCTTCTAATTCAAAAAGAGAATGGAGCTTTCAAACAGGTAAAATATTGAGCAATTTCAAACTTGCTTTTGGCTTCTTTTTTTTTTTTTTGAATTGGAGTCTCACTCTGTCGCCCAGACTGGAGTGCAGTGGCAGCTCCCGGCCACCGCAGCCTCGGCCTGCTGGGCTCCGGCGCTCCTTCCGCCTCAGCCTTCTGAGTAGCTGGAATTACAGGCACGGCTACCACACCCAGCTGATTTTTTTATTTATTGTAGAGATGAGGTCTCACCAAGTTGCCCAAGTGGGTCTCGAACCCGTAGGATCAATCCACTCACCTCGGCCTCCCAAAGCGCGGGATTACAGGCTGAGCCATCGAGCCCAGCTCAAATGCCTTTTTAAGAAACCAAAAGCAGCCGGGGTCGGTGGCTCAGCCTGTAATCTCGCGCTTTGGGAGGCTGAGGTGAGTGGATTGTCTGAGCCCGTGGGTTCGAGACCCGCTTGGACAACTTGGCGAGACCTCATCTCTACAATAAATCAAAAATCAGCCGGGCGTGGTAGCGCGCTCCTGTAGTTCCAGCTACTCGGAAGGCGGAGGCGGAAGGATCGCCGGAGCCCGACAGGTCGAGGCTGCGGTGGCCGGGAGCGGCCACTGCACTCAGTCTGGGCGACAGAGTGAGACTCCAACTCAAAAAAAAAAAAAAAAGAAAAAGGCATTTGAGGCCGGGCGTAGCAGGCTCACTCACACCTGTAATCCCAGCACTTTGGGAGGCTGAGGCCACAGGATTGCCTGCGTCCAGGGGTTGGAGACCAGCCTGGGCAACTTGGTAAGATCTTGTCTCTACAATAAACCAAAAAGTTAGCCAGGCGTGGTGGCGTGCACCCGTAGTCCAGTACTTGGAAGGCTGAGGCAGAAGGATTGCCTGAGCCCAGCAGGTCGAGGCTGCAGTGGCCGTGAGCGTGCCACTGCACCCCAGCCTCAGTGACAAAGTGAAACTTCAACTAAAAACAAAAAACAAAGAACAGCCGGGCTCGGTGGCTCAGCCTGTAATCCCGCGCCTTTGGGAGCCTGAGGGTTCGAGACCCGCCTGGGCAGCGAGACCTCATCTCTACCATAAATCAAAAAATCAGCCGGGCGTGGTAGCGCATGCCTGTAATTCCGGCTACTTGGAAGGCTGAGGCGGAAGGATTGCCGGAGCCCAGCAGGTCGAGGCTGTGGTGGCCGGGAGCGGCCACTGCACTCCAGTCTGGGCGACAGTGAGACTCCAACTCAAAAAAACAAGAAAAACAGGCATTTGAGGGCTATGAGTGGTGGCTCACACCTGTAATCCAAGGACTTTCAGAGGCAGAAGGGGGAGGACTGCTTGAAGCCCGGAGTTCAAGACCAGCCAAGGCAACAGTGAGACCCCATTTCTACACAAAAAATAGACCGGTATGGTGGCACACGCCTGTAGTCCTAGTTACTTGGGAGGCTGAGGCGGAAGGGTTACCTGAGCCCAGACCAAGGCTGAGGTAAACTGTAATCCTGCCACTCTACTCCAGCCTGGGCAAGAGAGATCCTGATTCAAAAAAAAAATTGAGCCAGGTTTGGTGGTGTATGACTGTGAGCCCAAGATTTCAAGACAACATAGTGAGACCACATATGGGAGGGGGAGGCATTTGACTACATCAGGCCTAGTGACATTTCTTTCACCTATATGCATAGATGTGGTAATAAAAGGAATTTTTAAAATGGAAATACAGCCCCTTCTTCAAAACCAGAAAGCACCAGTATCCTAATGGTTTCTTCTCACATTGATACAACATTTAAAAATCATTCTTGGGGCCAGGTGTGGTGGCTCAAGCTTGTAATCCCAGCAGTTAGAGAGGCCAAGGAGGAGAATCACTTGAGACCAGCGTGGGCAATATAGTGAGACCCTGTCTCTACAAAAAAACAAAAAAGTTAGCTGGGTGTCGTGGTGTGCATGCCTGTGGGTCATAACTACTTGGGAACCTGAGGAAGAAGGATCCCTCGAGCCCAGGAGTTCCAGGCTCTAAGGAGCTGTGATCACTGCTCTTCACAACACTGCATTCCAACCTGTACAACAGAGGGAAATTCTGTCTCAAAAAAAATTGTTGGATCTTACTCACACATCTTTGTAGATACAATGGTAAGCAGTGGATCTTCTGTTTTAAAAACTTAACACAGGCTGGGCTCGGTGGCTCAGCCTGTAATCCCAGCACTTTGGGAGGCCAAGGGGAGCAGACTGCCTGAGCCCGCAGGTTCAAGACCAGCCCTGGCAACTTGGTGAGACCTCGTCTCTACAATAAATCAAAACAATTTAGCTGGGTGTGGTAGAGTGTGCCTGTAGTTCTGGCTACTTGAAAGGCTTAGGTGGAAGGATCACCAAAGCCCAGCAGGGCAAAAATGGGGTGGCGTTGAGTGTGCCACTGCACTCCAGCCTGGACAACAAGAGTGACATTCCAACTCGGAAAAAAAAAATTAACACAAATAGCTGGCCATTTCTAACTAAAAATCTGTCAAAACTGAGTACAAAAGTTGGATCTAATACAATTAAGTGTGTAAACAGATATTTCTCCTAGTCTTCCAATTTTCAATAAGTGTATTTTTTTTTTTTTGAGTTTAAGTCTCACTCTGTTGCCCAGGCTGGAGTACAGTAGCTGCTCCCTGCTACCGCAGCCTCGACCTGCTGGGCTCCGGTGATCCTTCTGCCTCAGCCTTCCAAGTCGCTGGAACTACAGGTGCGCGCTACCACGCCCGGCTAAGTAAGTGTATTTATTATAGAAAAATACATTTCGACCTTCCCCTCTCTTCCTCGGTGCTGCCTGCCGAGGTGGCAGCCATCTCCTACCCAGCATCATGGCTGCCCTCAGACCCCTGGTGAAACCCAAGATTGTCGAAAAGAGGATCAAGAAGTTCATCCAGCACCAGTCAGACCGATATGTCAAGATTAAGTATAACTGGTGGAAGCCCAGAGGTACTGACAACAGGGTGCGTAGAAGATTCAAGGGCCAGATCTTGATGCCCAACAATGATTACGGGAGCAACAAGAAAACAAAGCACATGCTGCCTAGTGGCTTCCAGAAGTTCCTGGTCCACAATGTCAAGGAGCTGGAGGTGCTGCTGATGTGCAACAAATCTTATTGTGCTGAGATTGCTCACGTTTCCTCCAAGAACCGCAAAGCCATTGTAGAAAGAGCAGTCCAGCTGGCCATCAGAGTGACCAATCCTAATGCCAGGCTGCACAGTGAAGAAAATGAATAGACAGCTTGTGCACGTTTTGTGTTTAAATAAAACCATAAAAACTGAGAAAAAAAGAAAGAAAAATACATTTCTTCATGTAGTAATTTCAGAAAACTAAATCTGAATGATTCAAGATGAAAAGTATCTGCTTAAGCTCTTAAGTCTGATAAATGCAATAATAGTCACATGACACAGTTTTGTACGCTGCAAACATTTTAATGATTATTGTTGAGCATACATTTTGGAAATTTTTTACTTCAAACTGCAACAAGTTAAATAAATGTTTATAATATACAAAGAAAATACAACCAAAAGGAAAACTTGCTTTAAGTGTGCCTTGTACCTAGACCAGTGTTTTCCCCACTTAATATATCTTTTTTTTTCAGCTGCACAAACACACTTAAGAATTTGATCTTTATAGTATGGCATTTAGGAAATAAAAATATACTCCCACCTCAAAGAAATAAAAGGGTTGTGCATGATTATATGCCAAACAAAAGAGAGAACACTAGAATACTCTGATAGTGCAGGCATCATTAAAAAGGAAAAGAAAAAGTCTGAGATGCTCTTTAACTCTCTATGTTTTAAGGAAGCAGGATTTTTGACCAAGTAGCTTGAAAGCCAGCAAAACAGGGATCATGATGGCAACTGTAGTGTATGGAGTATGAAATGACAAACTTTACACAAATACAGTTAGAAATTTACCAGTGAACACTGAAGATCTGAGAAGCTGCTCTTTGGAACAGTCAAGTAGGACCACCTTATTCCAGTCACATGAGCCCTTGTAAAGCAACACAGTGTTCTGTGCTATATACTCGCTGGCTGGGTAGTTAAAGGATTTGTTTTGTCATTAGCAGCTAACGAACTTACTCCACATGTTCTTAAAGCCTTAATGGTGGAAACAAAGGCAAGTGTCATTAGCGAGGATGGTCATATAACTTCTCTGCACACAAACACATGAGGCTTCACTAGTATTTTAAAAATCTCTGCTATCTCCCACTGCAATTCAAAGCTCAGTTGAGATGAAAGCCTTTCTCCATTGTAGCAGCTAGCAAGCGCTCTCTCATGATCTCCTCAGAAGAATATTCAGGCAACTTCAGGTAATGCACACATGTATTGACTGATGGATAGCTTGCATCAGTAGCATCAACCTAAAGAAATATAACAGAATATAACAGAAAACCATGAGTTTAAATATTTCTTTTTATCCTAGAGAAACTAAATTCCAAGTTGGATTCTCCATTAGCTAGAGTTTGTACCTTGCGTACAACTGTGAGCCTGGGATGCAGGTTGGCCAGTCCACCTGGGGGTAGAGTTGAACAACCAGTGGTAAACTGCAAAAATGCCTTCCTTTCATCTGAAGACATGCCACATAAAACCCTCACAAACCTCAGGAAACCAGGGCTAAAAGAACAAAAATATAGTTTCAGTGGGGAGACAGCAGATTTAAATGAAAATCACTACCACTGCTTTGAAAACTAGCAATAAGCCCCCTCGAAGAAACACTATCTGGCCAGTGCAATGACTCATACCTACAATCTCAGCATTTGAGAGGCCAAGACAGAAGGCAACATAGTGAGACCTCAACTCTACAAAAAATGTTATTTATTTTTTTGAGACAGGATCTCACTCTATTATCTGGGCTGGAGTGCAATAGTTCAATCCCAGCCAACTGCAGCCTTAACCAACTGGACTCAAGGCATCTTCCCATCTTAGCTTCCCAAGTAGCTAGGACTGCAGGTGCATGACGCCACGCCCAACTACTGTTTCTAATTTTTTAATAGACATGAGGGCTCAATATGTTGCCCAGACTGATCTCAAACTCTTGGGCTCAAGCAATCCTCCCACATCGGCCTCCCAAAGTGCTGGGATTATAGGCATAAACCACTGTGCCTGGCTTCTATAAAAGATTTTTAAAATTGGCTGGGTACAGTGGCATGTGCCTATAGTCTTCAATATTTGAGGTTACAGTCAGCTATGATCATGCCAGTGCACTCCAGCCTGGACAATAGAGCAAGACCCTGTCTCTTAAAACAAAAACAAAGTCCACAATATTAACGTAACAGAAGAACAAGACATCTAGATATTCCTGGGTAAGTATGAAATGGGCTGGTTCAAGTTACTTTAAAAATATCCCTCAGACACTGTCTTGCACCTATAAATGGCAAAAACTGAAACTGATGAAGTATGGGTGTCAATGATTATGCAACAAAGTCAGCAAATCAGAAAAGCCCAAAGGGGCACTTGCATAATTAATCTAGTTATGGCTAAATTTGGACCTGAAATAAATAAATGGACCCGAAATAATCTATTTTCATTCCAGTAAAATGATTAATTGCCTTAATAATTTTGGTGAATTTATGTAATAAAATACTACATATTGATTAAATGAACTATTACCATACATGGATGAGTCACAATATTAAACAAAGTATACCAGACCTGAAAGAATACAGACTACATGATTTCATATATTAAAGTTAAAAAGCAAGCAAACTATTCTGTTGATCTTACAAAATGTCAACACATACCTATCACGTGTATAGCCCAACTTAGGTTCAGTGTAATTGATAATATCCTCTGCTGCCCAGGATGGCGACTGATTTCCACAAAGAATCATTTGAACTTCTTCATGGCTGAAGGAACTTAATTTCTCCATTGGAAAAACTTTATTAAACCCATCTATATTGTATACACAGCAGAAACAAAAAAACAAAACAAAACAACTCAGTTTCTAAGTTATCCCAAAATGACCAAATACCAAATCAAAATACCCATTACCAAAATCATCTTAAGTGTCTGTCAGCAGGTGACTGGATAAAGAAAATGTGTGGGTATACAAGCTACTTTTAAAATATCCTTCAAACACTGTCTTGCACCTATACATGGCAAAAACTGAAACGGATGGAGTATGGGTGTCAATCATTATGCAACAAAGTCAGCAAATCAGAAAGGCACAAGGGGGCACTTGCATAATTAATCCAGTTATGGCTAAATTTACCAAAGGAGACCTGAAATAATCCATTTTCATTCCAGTAAAATGATTAATTACCTTAATCATTTTGGTAAATTTATGTAACAAAATACTATGCATCAATTAAATGAACTATTGCCACAACATATATGAATGTTTCATAATCATGTTAAACAAAATATACCAGGCAGTAAAGAATGTAGACTACATGATTTCATATATTGAAGTTCATAAGCAAGCAAGATTAATCAACAGATAGTGATTTAATTACCAGAAAAGAATATGATGTACACATACACACAGTGGAATGGAATACCATTCAGTCATAAAAAAATAACAAAATCATGTAATTTGCAGTAACATAGACAGAACTGGAAACCATTATATTAAATGAAATAAGGCAAGCACAGAAAGACAAATAGTGTATGTCCTCATTCATATGTGGGATCTTATAAAGTTGATCTTATAAAGGCTCTTTACGTCATACAAGCCAGCCAAAGTTGTGTTCTCATTTATACAAATGACTTACAGTTGAATATACTTTGCTCCCATCTTCACCTGAAGAAAGATTCTTTCATGGTTTAATTCTTCCTTACCATGTAATGTAGAATGTATGCAACCTTATATTCATTTTCAAATTAAGAAATTTTAGCCAGGTATGGTGGTGTGTGCCTGTAGTCCTAGCTACTTGGGACGCTGAAGTGAAAGGCTCTTTGGGGCCTAGGAGATCGAGACTGCAGTGAGGTGAGGCATGATCATGCCACTGCATTCCAGCCCGGACAACAGAGTGAGACCCTGACTCAAAGGTGCATCCCCATTACTCCAGAGTAAAAAGCTGATGGTATACTACAGCTTGAGAACATTCCTGTCTGGGACACATAAAACTAGAAAACAAGTTTAGAGATTACCAGCAATCCAGAAATTATTTTTGAGTTGGAGTTTCAATGTCACCCAGGCTAGAGTGCAGTAGCACACTCATAGCTACCATAGCCTTGACCTGCTGGGCTCAGGTGATCTTTCCACCACAGCCTTCCAAATAACTGGAACCACAGGCACGCACCACCACATCTGGCTAATTTTTTTTGATTTATTGTAGAGATGATGAGGTCTCGCCAAGCTGCCCAGGCTGGTCTCAAACCCCTGGACTCAGGTAATTCTCTCACCTCTGTCTCCCAAAGTGCTGGGATTACAGGCGTGAGCCACCACACACAGCTGATTACCAGCAATTGTTGACCTTAATTTCAACTGTGTGAAAGTAAAAAAAGAGGGATTACGCTAAAGTTCCTTCAAAGTTACCTCTAAAGGCTTCCATTTGTTTCTGAATACCCGTATGCATACAAAAGTCAAACATCAAATCCACATATTCTTCTGCATTGTCCATTGTTATCATCTGCAAAGGAAAATTTGTCAGTATTACTGTTTCCATCTAGGAATATTTCAGCAGCACTCAGTGCAACTGGCTTTGTTATGAGGATGTTTCAGAGCTTGCAACTATATTAAAAGCAAAATTTTTACCTCATCTTCACCACTTGGCTTGAGATCCACAGCTGTAAAACCATATATTCTCGAGGAAGGGCAAAACTGGAAATTTAAACTGGGAGGACAAAAAACATTAGATTAATTGACATTCAGTTGTTACTGGCATAATTTGTATACCATTGCTATACAAACTGTAAATCTCCCCTCCAACAACAAAATCAGTACACTAGCTTAGATAAAAGTATTAGGCCTTCCTAAATGCAAAACCCTATGCACAAAAACTACTAGGCCAACTGTTACCAAATCTGCCTGACTTTGCAAAAATTACATGAAACCACTACCTTTCCACATTTCATTTCTCCCTTATGGCACAAAAGTAATGAACTAAACAATTTCTGCAATGAATTATGGAAGCAACATGTTTATAAGGCTGTTTTTTGAAAACAACTTGCTTCACTAAAGTTATTCATGCTGTATACAAAAAGCGTATGTGTGTATATGTGTGTGTGTATATGTATATGTATATACACACACACACACACACACATAAAATCTTGACTATATAACCATTTATTAAACACAACCTTCCAATATTATCAGCAGTCAAAAAAAAAGAAAGAAAGAAAATGCAAGCCAGACTTTTCAATTAACCCAAAATCATAGGAGAATCTTCTGAGGGTATAATCATATAATATATATGAATTAATACAATTTTATCAAAAGATCTGCAACATATGAGTTAATTGAGGCAGCCACTGGGGATGAGGCTTACATACAAAGCAAACTAGTTTTGAAATTTGCCAAGGAGGCTGTACATATTAACTCATGAATATGACAAAATATTGTTGGCTCTGGATTTTTTTTTAATCTTTAAATTTTCCTGGTCATCTAATCTGTGTGAAGGCTTTGGACTTTTTATACAAGGCATATAAGCTTATCACATTTAATAAATCAGATAATCTTCCAAGTTTGATGATTAATAAACTATATTCTGGTATTGAGTGTTATCTTTATAATATTAACAAATCAAAGGTTCAAACGAAAATCAGTATTTCTTATAGCATATTACTGTTTTTGACAGACTATTTAC